CCACATATAATATTGTTGCGGCGTGCAACCCGATCCACATATAATATTGTTGCGGCGTGCAACCCGATCCACATATAATATTGTTGCGGCGTGCAACCCGATCCACATATAATATTGTTGCGGCGTGCAACCTGATCCACATATAATATTATTGTGGCGTGCAACCCGATTCACATATATAATCAACAACAATCATTACAAGAGTCCCGGCAAGGGATCAATAAAGAACTACACTATCCCGGCAAGGGAATCGACAGTATCAGTAAATATGTTCCGACAAGGGAAAAACAGCTATAACCAAACTTGTTCCAGCATCTAGCAACCTCAGCTAACACCAATACTTAATCATAAGTAATTCCACGAGAACAATCATAATCCTTGCTCAATATAGAGAATCATCAATTTAAGCATCCGTAGTACTATTCAAGAACACAATAATTCATAATTTAAGACTCACGGTCATGCTCGACATCAACGTATAGATACTCGTCACCATGCTTATACGTCGTACTCAACAAGAAACAAGTAGCAAATAGGACACAACTCCTAATCCCTCAAGATAAGGTTAGACCAAACACTTACCTCGATGTCACGAACACAATTCACGTCTCAATTATCGTTTTACCCCTTGATTCCACCACCAATTCGCTCGTATCTAGCCACAAGTTACTTAATTACATCAATAAACGCTAAATGAATCAACCCCAATGCATAAAAAATGAGTTTTCCAAAGTTTTACCCAAAAAGTCAAAAATTGCCCTCAGGCCCACATGATCAAAACCCGAGGTTCGAACCAAAACCCAATTACCCATTCCCCAACGAACCCAAATATATAATTTGTTTTGAAATCGGACCACATCGAGGTCCAAATCCCTAATTTTTTGAAAAACCTAGGTTCTACCCAAAACACCCAATTTTTTCCATGAAAATCATTGATTTTGAGTTGAAATCATGTGAAAAGATGTTAATGATTGAAGAAAACGAGTTAAAATTGACTTACAATCGATTTGGAAGAAGAGTTGTTCTTGAAAAATCGCCCTAGAGAGTTTGTATTTTGAAAAGATGTGAAAAATGGTTGATTTTCAGCTAAGTATAAAAATTGCAGGTTGCAGGTTGTAGGTATGGAAATTGCGAATAGGGTTCGCAACGACCCCTGCTATGTTCGCATTTGCAATGGGATTTTCGCATTTGCGAGGTGGGAAATGCGAAGGATGTGTCTCAATAGCGACGACTGGCTTAAAAGGAGGGAATCATATTTGCGATAGAATCCTCGCAATTGCGAGGATAGGCTGGCCTGGGCCTCATTCGCATTTGCAAGCCAGGCTTCGCATTGCAATGCCATAGCTGAAAATCTGCAATTTTCCAAGTCTAGAATACACCCCGTGGCCTATCCAAAACTCACTCTAGCCCTCGGGGCTCCAAATCAAATATGTAAACCAACCTAAAAACATCATACGAACTCGCTCGTGCGTTCAAATCACTAAGATAACACAACAACTAGGAATTTAGCATCGAAATCATGAAATTTCCTTAAGAACTTCAAATTTCCAATTTTCTCAAAAGTGATTCGATTCACGTCGTTTCAAGCCTGTTTCTTACCAAATTTTACAGACTTATCTTAAATCACATATAAGACTTGTACTGGACGCCGGAACCAAAATACGGGCACGATACCATCGAGTTCTAATCACAATACATTTCCAAATCTCATAAATAATTTCAAAAAATAATTTTCTTTAAAAATTCATTTCACGGGCTAGGGACCTCGGAATTCGATTCCGGGCATACGCCCAAGTCCTATATTTTCCGACGGACCCTCCGGGACCGTCAAATTACGGGTCCGGGTCCGTTTACCCAAAATATTGACCTAAGTCATCTTAATTTATTTTATAATCAAAATTTATCATTTTTCACAGATTTTTACATATTAGCTTTACGACTACGCGCCCGGACTGCGCACGCAAATCGAGGTAAGACAGAAAGAGGTTTTTTAAGGCCTCGGAATGCAGAATTCATTTTAAAAAAGGTGATGACCCAAAGGGTCATCACAGAATTTAACAAATCTTAACATATAAATATGAAAGAACAAAGAGATTGACGCATTTCAATAACACTTGATAAGAAAGTGATGATACAACCCATTATTTAAAGTAAATAAAAATGGATGCACTTCATAGATCTATTAAATATTACATCCCAAGAGAGGATCCCAAATACTTCTAGATATTTTTTAAACAAAATTCTATATAAAATTTTAAAAGTATATATAAAAATTATGTATTTATATGTCGGTTTGGTTCGAGTATTTTTACTCAATACTAAGAGCATGTTTGGCCAAGCTTCTAGGAGGACAAAAATACTTTTTTTTTTCCTCAAAAAAAGTACTATTTTAAAAATTTAAATTATTTGGCCAATATAGAGAAGTACAATTGGCCAGCATCAGAAGTAGTTTTTTTGCTTTTGTGAAAAAGTAAAAAATTCTAGCTTCTTCTAAGAAACAGAAACAGAAGTAGAAAATTAATTTATTCAAAATACAATTATCCTCACCATAAATTTATATTTTTCAAATTATCACCTACTAATTTAAGTTTTTTCCTTTTCAATTTTGTTTATAATTTTTCCCATTTTAAACAAAATAAAAAGGTCTGTGTACACACTATCCTCCCTAGGCCCTATGATGTGAGATAATACTGGGTATGTTGTTGTTGTTGTTGTTGTTGTTGTTATTACCATTTTTAAAAATTAAAGATATCATATACATGAATCATATTGTAACTTTCCAAATTTTTTATTGACTTTCTTGTTTTTGATTTTTTCTTTGTGTAATGTCTTGTAACTTTTCAAATTATCTTCTTCTTTTTCACACTAAAGCAAATTATCTACATCCTTCTTTGGATTATCAATTATCATCCTACAAATAATCGTTTATAATTTCTTCTGTTATATGCTATTAGTTCCCGAATCTTTAAAACAGTTATCAAATCTAATTTGTGAAAATTACCTACAAATATGTAATAAATTTACAACTGCATCACATAATCTATCTATTCTATATTTTAACTATGGAGAAGAGAAAAAGTTTCGACGTGTGTGCTTTATGACAATAAATTTGAAATCAAGGGTAATATAATCATTTCACCTATTAGCTGATATTGTCGAACTTACGTGGCTTTTATTTTTGTAGCCACTGCATCATTCCTCTTTTTTCTTTATCGGTTCTCTTTTAGACACTTTGAGTTTGCTGGTTAATTCCTCTTCCACATTTGGGTCAAATCTTGCTCTTTTTGTCTTTATCTGTATGTATAATGCTCTTTAATCTGACATTTAAAGTGTTTTTTTTGTTAAATCTAATTTGAATTTTTGTGGTTAGATAGTAAGTCATGAGGGAGAAGAGTGTAGGCCAGAAAGGAAAGACAATTGGATGCTCTTCATCGGAAATAAAGGTTAACTTTCTCTCATCTCTTTGTTTCTCCATGTTTTGCATCTCCCCTTCCTCTTTTTCGTCTCAAGTGTTGCGTTCGGCAGAATTTTTTTGGGTTTATGAATGATTGGGGAATGCATGTACCTCTATTGATTCAGATTTAACTTGGTCGGAATTTTTTAGTTTACTGCATTACGCCAATTTGCATTTTCATCCAAAATAACCGGTTAGAAAATTCCAAATACCCAAACTCCAATTTCAAATTTTGATGTAGCTTTATAATTTTCAGAAAATAGATGAAAGATTTTGTACCTAGATTTGGTTGCGATTTCTAAATATGGATAATTTCCTCAATATTAGATTCGGTTACAATAGCTTTTATTTTTGTTTTCTCTTGTGTATGTTGATTTTGTAGTAGTAAGTAACAACAGTTAACATGTGCAAAACTTTCAACGCAATATTTGGTAGTCTGATTGTATAAAATATCTGCTCTCGACTTGAATGAATGGTGTTAATAAAGAAAAATTTAGATATGTATGTTTAACCAAAATAGGAATTTCGGTCAAAACCTGTTTTTAGAAGAACTCGGGTTACTGATAATCAAATAAAAATAAGAATAATTGATGTAAATAATAGCATGATAAAAAGCAAAGTAAATCAGTGTATTCCAAAAGTATTTTGTGTCCTTACAAATATTCATTCCTCACCTTTTATATCTATTTCTAAGTAATATGTTTCTTTCCTTCCATAATGAAGTTATTATGGACAATTAATGACATTTAATGTAACGTTATAATTGGCAATCGTAACTGTTCAGTACAGATTCTATAACGTTTCTTGTAATTAATGCTCATTAACTACCGATAATACGTATCTATACTCTTTTGCTATCTAGGTTCATTCTTCCGATGCTTCTTCAAATTATGAAGAGGTTCGAGCACCCATTCCTTATGATTTTCTTGGATCTTTGCCCGTATCTGTTAAAGCTCATGTCTCTTCAACTATTCTTCACCAATTGTCATTCCTTTACTGATCCACGTGTTATGATATGTCATCACATAATTAATTTGATATATTAACTTGATTTTTCCAAATACAGATAGTCCCCCCACTTGCCATTTATTCAACAATAGAATATTTGGGAAGTGGATCTCATTAAAGCGGGAATTTTTGCCGCCATTATTCCTTCTCTGGAACTGACGCTTCATATGTCACTTTCATTTAATGCTTGTGACACATGACATCTTCTGATTGGATCTGCGACTCTTCAGCATTTTTAGGGCTTTTTTGCGACTTCATCAATTACGAAGTGACAATTTCCATCATGATGTTTTTATCATTACACCTTTTTCTTTGACGGTTGCTTCTGAGTATAAATATAGTTTTTGTCTTTGTCTTTCTCATAAAAAGTTACTTATCTTAGAATATTCATTCTTGTTTTCTTCCTCATACAGCTATGTCTTCTTCTAACCCTAATCCTCGAAGAGTCCCCATTGTTGATGAACTTTCTCTTGCTTCTGTTAGAAGTAGAAGAGGGGAAGATTGCGTAGTTTAGGGTCTTCATCTGTGCGAGGTGTTTCTTTACCTCCAGTGAATTCTACCCCTCCTTCTAGAACTAGGGGTTCTCATTCACATAGATCTTCTTCTAGAGGTAAAGATTCTAGTGAACCAGTTCGTGAGCCTTTAGTAGATGAAATTGTCCCTTCTGAAATATCTTTTTACTCTGATAGAGAATCGATTAGAAATCAAGTTTCTTCTATATCTTCTTTGGATCGTGCTGATGTTTACCCTTCTCAAATTACTGAATGTTTAATTTCTGTTGTCCGTAGGGATTAGAATTGGAGACATGACTTCCCTATCATAATTCCTAATGCAAACCAAAGAATTACATCTTACATGACCGAATTTTCATTTGTGTATACATATCCCTTTACACTGAATTTTAAACCCCACCATTGATCCTGTTATCATTGAGTTTTGTCATTTTCTCAATGTTTGTCTAGGACAGATTGACCCCATTGTATGGAGGGATGTTGCTTGTCTAAGGCACTTAACAAGATTTGCTAATTTGCCTTTTACTTTTTTCTATTTGATCCATCTCTACTCCCCTAAGCTTTTCCGACATGGGATTTTTACTTTAGTAGCGAGAAGTAAGAGAGTTCTAATTAGCCCTGAGAATGACAAGGACCGTGGCTGGTATGCCAGATTTGTTGTTGCCCCTACTGTAGGCTTAGTAGGTAAAGAAAATGTACCATCCCCTGAAAAGTGGAATTTTGCGCGTAAGTTTTACTTTTGCAGTTTTCTCTTCTTTTTTTTCTTTTCCATTTTGAAAGGGTTTATTTTCCCGCAGATGTTTAACTTTCTCTTTTTTCAGAAACCTTGGGAACTATTAATGAGATTCCCAATTTCCGTGGTTGGGTAGAGAAGTTATTGACTGTTGCTCCGATGGAAGGTAGATCTTGGAAAAGTCTTTCACATAGGTTTGGTTGGAAGGTTAAAACTCATGGTAAATGCTTTATCCACTTTCTTTCCATATTTTCGATCTTCTTTACCTTAGAATTTATTTGACCCTTCTTTTTATCAAGGTTCCCCATACGTGGTGTAAGTGCTGAAGTAGTCGCGCCTTCCAGAGTTTCTTTGGAAAGAGCTCAAGAGATAATCTGGAGCTCTTCATCGAAAAGGAAGGCTGATGCAACCCAAGATTTTGAGGAAGAAGAGGAACAGGATGGAAGTTCCTTGGTTAAAAAGCCGCGGGCCAAAAGACGCGTCTTTTTATATGATGAAGCAACTCCTCCCCATTCCCCTAACCGAGCCTGTTGAAGCCAACTTGGTGAGTTCTGATGATGATACTCCTGCGGCAGCTGGTGACTCAGATGAACAGTTTTTTCCTCGTGGGTTTGATAGTGAAAATTTGGATTTAGTTTCCGATGAAGTACCCATTGCCTCATTTACCATATCTTTCCTTGTGGTGCATTCTTTGCCAGTTGTTACTGCTACTGCTTCTGATCCGCCCCAAGCTATTATGACTTCCTCCACAATTCTTACTACTACCATTCCTCGTACTGAGGTTGGTTCTTCAAGTGGAAGTAGAGCGATAAAGCATATTACTATTGAGATCCCTTTCGATGGTAATATTTTGAAAAAGTCAGGTCAGGCTAACGTATGGTTGAAACCCTTGATCAGTCCAGTCGAAAAGTCCAAGGTTGAGAGTCATAGTTCTTTGACTTGGATAAATGATATAGTGCAATCGTCACTGAAGGTATTTGCTTCTGTTTACGCATTATTCCATTCTTTTTTTATTAAGGTTCTTACCCCTTTCTTCTTTTTTTAGATCAATCTTATTGACACAGAGATGATGGAGAGTTTCTCTTACGGAGTAGTTAATGCTTGATTATCAAATTAAAGCAGACAATTGGAAAGAGCAATATGAAAGTCTTCAACTTGAGATGGAAGTTCTAGAAGAAAGCAAGTGTACCTTAGAGCAGCAGCTTAGAGTTATGGCATCGGAGCTAGCAGTTGAGAAAGCTTCTTCCAATCAGGCTGGAAAGGATAAAAATCTCCTTGAGACATCATTTTTCGAGCAACTCTCCAAAGCCAGCGAAGAGATTAGGGGATTGAGGGTCTTGCTGAACGAAGAAGAATTTTATGCAGGTGAACTTGTTCAGACCCTCACCCAGACCCAAGAGGATCTTTGTGTGTCTTCTGATAAAGTCAGATTTTGGAAAGTTCACTTGCCCCTTAGCAATCTTCTTATGATGCTGCTTTGGCCGAGAAGGAAGAACTCAAAAATGAGATTGACCAATGGGAAAGGGATTATGAAGCTCTTAAGGACAAAACTGCTATTAAAGTGAGTTGGGCTATTTTAAACACACGCCATGATACCCTAGTGGAGGCTAGCCAAGAGGGCTTTAATTTGAATGCTGAGTTAGCTAAAATAAAGGAAACCATTGAGAAAACTCAGCAAGACCAAAGTTTTCCTTCTCCCATGGCTAATACTCCCGAGTATGTTGAAGCTAATGTAGGTGCGGTGGATGTCCCAGCTCTTTCAGATCAAATCGAGCCTTCTGTTGCTGATGCTGCTGCTTTAGACTCTTCTTCTACTCCCCAGTAAAAGTTTATGAAGTTTGAATCCTTTTTCTTTCTTGGTGGAATTTGTAGTTTTACCCCTGGTCCCATTTGGGGGTTAAGTTTTTGGTAGTGACAAGTCCCCAGACCTTTTCGGGGCATTTTGTAAAAAATGACAATAAGTTTTATGACTAAGTTCATACTTAGTCTAAACGTAATATTATAAGGTTTTCGTTTTTACTTAATATCTTGAGTTTCTGTTTTACTCTTTTTGCCTTGTTTCATTATATAAATTCAAGGTCTTGCTTTTTAATTCATGGGTTTTGTCTTACCCTTTTTGCATTTTTTTAAAAAAAATGCTTTGTTAACTTCATGGATCTTTGAATCAAACATGAAATTATAAAAGAGTGCCCTTTTATATACGACACTTAATGAAGAAGACGTCTTAACTTCATAATGGTGTAAATATACGAAAAAAAAGTAGGAACACACATGTTTCTTGAAATAACTTTGATAAAGTTTTCATTTGAACTTTGTCAAGTTTAAATAACATCTTATATGTATTTAAATATCTTCTATTACTTTTCCGTAACTATTTTCTTTACAACAGATTTGCAAAAAGGAAAGAAAATCCAAGGGTTTTTTATAACTCATGGCTAAATATTGCCTTTAACTTAGACATCATAAGATTTTGAAATCTATATGGAGGTTTTTTGATTGGCTTGTGTTATTGGCTCGTGACTTTGCTCTGAACTTGATATACTTGATGAGTAAACTTTTGGGCTTGACTTGAACTTTAATTATTTTCAGTCCTCTTTGCCTTCTTTATACATATATCATATGTATATTATATAGTCCCCCAAGTGTTTGAGATTTGGAGTATGAAATCTCGAGCACTTGATTATTCCTTCCATCCGGTCCTTTTCCTGGAAAAAAAAAACATACGGGACTCGGAGGTATGATTTTAGATGAAGACTGCTTAACCCGTTTAAATTTCCATCAGAATGGTTGTAACCCTAGACCGGGAATTATGTTCTTTCCACGTGTCTTTTCAGGTCGTAATTCATCATTTAGTGCGGGCTAGCTTTTTGCCTGCCCGTAGATATTTATTTTCCTTAGAAATAGTATCTCTTCAGATGAACAACATTCCAATTTGAAGGTAGAATCTTTCCATCCAATGTTTCAAGTTCGTATGCTCCTTTTTCCTGCGATACCATGAATCTTATAAGGTCCTTCCCAAGTTGGACTTAACTTTCCTGCATTAGCTGCCCTCGTGGATTGGAAAACCTTCTTGAGTACGAAGTCCCCAATCTTGAAGTATCTTAGACGAGCTTTCTGGTTATAGTATTGCTCCATAACTTGTTTTTGTGTTGCCATCCTTATTAATGCAGCTTTCCTCATTTCTTCAAGTAAATCCAAGTTTACTCGCATCTCTTCTTCATTTGATTCCTCATTAGCTTGTGCATATCTCGTACTTGGTTCCCCTATCTCGACTGGAATTAAGGCTTCAGCTCTGTATACAATGAGAACGGCGTTTCCCTCGTACTTATTTTTGCGGTTGTTCGATAAGCCCACAAGACCCCAGGTAACACCTCTGGCCAATTGCCTTTAGATTCCTCTAATCTTTTCTTCAAGTTGTTGATATGACTTTATTTGTTGATTCAGCATGTCCATTAGCCACCGAATGGTAAGGCGTTGAAGTAATCCTTTTAATTTGCCAACTTTGAAAAAATTCTGTGATTTGCGTGCCTATAAATTGCGGGCCATTATCACATATGATTTCCTTTGGTACCCCGAATCGGCATATGACGTTTCGCCAAATGAAATCTCTGACCTCTTTTTCTCGTACCTTGCCTTTAGCTTGCGGTAGTGGTCCCATGATATCCATCTCCCATTTCATAAAAGGTCACGGTGTAATGACCGGATGTAATAATTCAGCAGGTCGATGCATGTTGTTACCGTATCTTTGGCACTTGTCATATTTAGCCATAAATGTTTCCGCGTCTTCTTCCATTTTTGTCCAGTAATAGCCGACTCTAATCATGGTTTTCACTAAAGATTTTCCTCCCGCGTGATTTCCACAGTGTCCCTCGTGTATTTCTCTCATCACATACTCTGTTTGAGAAGGGTCGAGGCATCTTGCTAGAGGGCCACTGAACATTTTACGATAGAGACTTTTTTTCTTTAAACAGTATCGAGCAGCTTTTTTGCGAAGTGCTTGAGCCTTTTTCTTATCTTCAGGTAAAATTTCATACTGCAAAAAATTGACAATCTCGTTCCTCCAATCCCAAGTTAGATTATTGAAAGTTACCTCATTTTTGTCGTGATCAAGTACGGAGTGAAATAAATGAATCACATAAGCATTTTCGTCATTCGTTACTTCTGCAGCAGATGCAAGATTAGCTAAGGCGCCAGCCTCTGCATTTTCCTCTCTTGGTATCTACACGACTTTCCAAGTTTGAAATTGCTTGACCAAATCTCGTGCCTTTTACAGGTATTGTTGCATCCTTGCCTCTCTGGCTGTATAAGTCCCCAGCATTTGGTTAACTACGAGCTGTGAATCGCTTTTGATTACGACCTGTTCTATACCAAGCTCTCGTGCTAGTTCTAAACCTATAATTACAACTTCATATTCTGCCTCATTGTTAGTAATAAGGTGACATTTTATGGCTTGTCGTATGGTTTCTCCCGTGGGTGGTACCAAAATAATACCTAAACCTGCCCCTTTCACATTCGATGAACCATCGGTAAATAAGGTCTAAGTTCCTGGATTAGACCCTTTAAATACCTGCAGTTCTTTTTCTGCTTCTAGTTGTATTCCTTGACTAAAATCTGCAACAAAATCTGCTAAAACATGTGACTTTATTGCAGTTCTAGATTGATATGTAATGTCATATTCACTTAGTTCTATGGCCCACTTGGCTAATCTCCCTTATAATCTTGTTTATGCAATATATTACGCAAGGGGTAGACGGTTACTACAGAGATGGGATGAATTTGAAAATAAGGTCTTAACTTCTTAGATGCCATAATTAACGCAAGTGCAAGTTTTTCTAGATGAGGGTACCGAGTTTCAGCATCTAATAATGACTTGCTAACATAATAAATCGGAGACTGCTTACCTTTGTCTTCTCGAACTAACACAGCACTTATCACTACTTCTGAAACAGCAAGGTAGATGAGTAGTTTCTCCCCATCTTTCGGTTTTGCAAGCAACGGTGGATTTGACAAATATACTTTCAATTTTTTAAGCGCTTGTTGACATTTTTCAGACCATTCAAATTGATCCTACTTTTTTAGGGCTGAAAAGAACCTGAAGCATTTTTCTGATGATTTTGAAATAAATCTTCCCAAAGCTGTTATTCTTCTTGTCAGTCTCTGTACTTCTTTTTTACTTATCAGTGTATCAGGAATTTCCTCAACAGCTTTAATCTATCGGGATTTACCTCAATTCCACGGTTAGAAACAAGAAATCCCAAGAACTTACCTGACGAAACTTCAAATGCACATTTCTCAAGGTTTAATTTCATGTTAAATTTACGAAGAATCTGAAATGTATCAGACAAGTGTTGGATATGGTCCCCTGCTTGTTGTGACTTGACCAGCATATCATCTATATAGACCTCCATGGTTTTCCCTAGATGTTCTTGAAACATTTGGTCACCAACCTTTGATATGTGGCTCCAACATTCTTGAAACCGAATGACATTACTTTGTAACAGTAAGTCCCTCTGTCTGTTATAAATGAATTTTTTCCTCATCTATAGGATCCATTTTTATCTGATTATACCCTGAATATGCATTTAAAAAACTTAACAATTCATGTCCTGCAGTAGCATCATTTAGTTGATCTATATGCAGTAATGGAAAAGAATCTTTAGGACTTAAGTCAGTATAATCCACATAAACTCTCCACTTACTATTATTTTTAGGTACTACTATAGTATTAGCTAACCAATTTGGATATTTTACCTCGCGGATGGACCCAATTTTTAAAAGTTTTTGTACTTTATCTTTAATCACTTGATTTTTGAAAGATCCTTGCTTTCTTTTCTTTTGTTTGACAGGTAGGTATGATGGATCTTCATTTAACTTGTGGGTCATCACTTCTGGAGGTATTCCTGTCATATCAGAATGGGACCAGGCAAAACAATCCACGTTAGTTTTCAAAAATTCAGTCAACTTACGTTTTATTTCTTGGATTAGGTTAGCCCCAATGTAGACTTTCCTTTCAGACCAGGGTGCAAATAATACTACATCTTCCAATTCCTCAATCGTTGTTTTGATGTTTTCATTTTTCTTTGGCTCTTGGATGGTATCAGGCCTCGAGTCTACATCTGTTTGCCCGTTCTCAGTTGAGGCTTGTGTTGCAGCACCCTCAACTAGATTCTGTGATTACTATTTCTCTTCGTTTTTTAAGCTAGAATATGCTACGGAATTAATGCTCCTAGACGCTTGCTAGTCACCACGAATTTTTCGTATTTCCCATTGTGAAGGAAATTTAATAACTTGATGCAATGTTGATGGAACAGCTTCCATTTCATGAATCCATGGTCTACCAAGAATCATGTTATAAGCCATATCCATTTCTACCACTTGAAATTTGGTGTCTTTGACTACTCCTTCAGTGAATGTGGTGAGTGTTATCTCGCCTTTTATTACAACACTCGAGTTGTCAAAACTGGACAATGTATGAGCCTTTGGTATCAACTTATCATCAGCTTGCATCTCATTTACCACTCTTAACAGAATGATATTTACAGAACTACCTGGATCAACCAAAACGCATTTCATGTTAGTGTCATGTACAAATAAAGATATTACCAGTGCATCATTATGTGGGGTTAGCACGCCATCCGCGTCTGCATCATCAAAAATAGTATTATCTTCTTCCAAAATTTGCCGAACTCGCTTCCCATGTGTAACCATTATTTTTGACACCTTCCTCATTGCTGTTACGCCATAGATCTCCTCTCCTCCACTTATGACATTAACCATCCTTTTTGGTGAAAGGGGTTTTGGAGGCTCCTGTCTATTTTTCATATATGTCTGCTTTCCCTTTTCACTAAATAATTCAGTTAAATACCCTTGTTTCAATAAATGTTCTACTTCACCTTGCAGTAATCTACAATATGCCGTTTTGTGGCTGTGATCGTGGTGAAACTCGCACAAAAAATCAGGATTACGCCTGTTCGAATTTGATCTCATCTCTCTTGGCCATCGTACCTTGTCTCCTATATTCCTTAAAACAGCCACCAATTCGGATGTGCTAACATTAAAACTGTAACTGACGATCTTTGCTTTCGTGCTTCTATCAATATCACGCATTTCTCGTGTATTTTATTCTTTTCCGAACCTTGATGATGAACCTGATTCCCTATCTCTTGATCTATGATCGTACCTTGGGTTTTCCTATTTTGAACGTGAGTCTCTTCCCGCTGGTCCCATGTAAGACTCGTACCTATTTTTACCGGAACTTTTTTAAGTTTCAGTTCGCCTTGAACTTACCTTTTTATCCCTTCGGGATTGAATGATGGTATTTTCTTCTATCCGCAGTTTTGTGCTATATCTGTTGTAAACATAAGTCCAAGTTGTAGCTGGAAATTATCGTAAACTTTCCTTGAGACTCCTTGTGGCTTCTGAACTTTTTTCATTTTGATTGCTGGCAAACGCTATAGCTGCACAGTTATCTAGTACACGTGGCAACGTCATCCTTTCACGCTGGAACCTGTTTACGAATTCCCTGAGTAGCTTCGTATCTCCTTGCTTTATTTTGAAAATGTCCTCCATTCTTTTCTCAACTTTTTGAGCTCCCGAGTGTGCTTTGATGAATGAATCTACAAGTTCAACAAAAGAATCTATAGAATTTTCGGGTAAAAGAGAATACCATGTTAATGCTCCCTTAGTGAGTGTTTCTCCGAATATTTTGACCAATACTGATTCAATTTCTTGCTTGGTCAAGTTGTTGCCTTTTACGTCGGTTGTGAATACAGTCACGTGATCTTGTGGATCAGTTGTTCCATCGTATTTTGGAATATCGGGCATCTTGAATTTCTTCGGAATTGGTAGAGGAGCTTCACTTGGCTTCCAAGGTTGTTGTGAGTATTTGTCCATATCTATTCCCTTGATTACAGGCGGTACTCCAGATATTTGCTCTATGCGGTCGCTCTGCTCCTTGAGCTGTTTCTGCAATGTTAGTACTAAATTTTGTAAATCAGAATTGATTGGGTTACGTGACCCTCCATCACGAGATTTGCTAGGAGTTCCTCAATGCCCGAATTAACGAGTCCTGGGCGAGGATTTTCTAAACTGTTGTTGTTTGGAGTTGATGTTGGCGATGCAGCTGGCAACTGGTTAGCAAAAGCCTCAAGAGCATTGCTAACCTGTTGAGCAATTAACCTTTTCAAAGCTTCATTAATAGCCTCATTATTTTCAAACTGATCGTTCGCATTTGATTAATATCCATCAGGAGTTCCTTCTCGAGATTGTCGAGGAGAATTTCGTGGGGAAGAGACCGGGGTTCCATCGCCTTGCTGATTCTCCTGGAATTGACGGTCTCCTTGATTGTTGTCATTGACATTTGACATGATTGTTTTGACAAAAAAGGTCAATTTATAAAGTAATAGATTATCATATTCCTGATAACGGAACCAATTTATTTAACCAAAAATAGGAATTTCGGTCAAAGCCTGTTTTTAGAAGAACTCGAGTTACTGATAATCAAATAGAAATAAGAATAATTGATGTAAATAATAGCATGATAAAAAGCAAAGTAAATCAGTGTATTCCAATAGTATTTCGTGCCCTTACAGATGTTCATTCCTCACCTTTTATAGCTATTTCTAAGTAATATGTTTCTTTCCTTCCATAATAGAGTTATTATGGACAATTAATGACATTTAATGTAACGTTATAATTGGCAATCGTAACTGTTCAGTACAGATTCTATAATATTTCCTGTAATTAATGCTCATTGACTATAGATAATACGTATCTAAACTTCTTTGCTATCTAGGTTCATTCTTCTGATGCTTCTTCAAATTATGAAGAGGTTCGAGCACCCATTCCTTCTGATTTTCTTGGATCTTTGCCCGTGTCTGTTAAAGCTCATATCTCTTCAACTATTCTTCGCCAACTGTCATTCCTTTACTGATCCACGTGTTATGACATGTCATCACATAATTAATTCAATATATTAACTTGATTTTTCCCAATACAATGTGGGAAATGTTGTCTTTAGAGCCATGTCATTGCTTCGTTGTCTGATGTTTATGATAAGGAATAGATGTCCTCTGAGTTATATACTGTTGCTTTTCCAGTCTTCTATTAGGTATTTATAGAAGATCAATTTCATTCTTATGAGTAAGTTTTCATATTTTATATGAATTTTTGTGGCATTAAACTTATAAGTCATATGATTTTAAGGTAAAGCTCCATTATTTATTGCTTCTACCGTATTAGTGAAGGTTGTGTTCTCACATTTTGTTAATGAAGTTTTGTGAGATTTTATGTATCTGGTATCTCTATTTAATGACCATATATCCTTTTTCCTTTCTTTCGAGATATTTTTAATATTGACATGATAACAGTTTTTCTACAAATTTTTCACAAGTAAGAGTTGGTATTGCAGGTTTAAGAAAGCCATTTTGCTGCGGAATTTTTATCAAATAACAGAAATGACATTCATGAGAAATTGATATCAGGTAAGAAAGGGATAAACAATGTTGGCTATTATTATTATATTTAGACAGGGTTCAATGACTATCAGAACTCTTATCTTTTGCTTAGTAAGTGTTTACAAGGCTTTTTATTCTATGAAATGTATATTTTCTTACTTCAAACTCCAATGATACTTGTTCGAAATTTTTTAACTAAAACAGAACTCCATATTAGTTTTGTGTTTGGGAGAAGCATGATTTAAGAAGTATAGACAAAAATAGTTGTGTGGTTCCATATGATAATAGGAAATAAGATGCACAACTGGTGCTTTTAAATCCATAAACTTCCCTGTACTCTAAATCTAACATTACTTTTTCTAGAAGTCAAGTTAAGAAGACTAAGGTTGTTGCAGATCGATTGAAGTGGGAGTTTTGACATGTCTCTTCTTTGTTACGGAGTTTGACATGTCTGTTCTTTGTCTTCAAAATTTAAGTTGAGGATATTATTCTAGAAACCGTCTCTAGAGTCTAGATCTACGATTTCTTCATTTTCTCCTTGCATTAATTTCTTTAAAATTTATGTTGAGGACACTATTATAAAATACACGAGACTAATTCACATTTTGAATATCCAGCAATACCTAAATAAAAATCTCAACTTTTCATGTCTGAATGTACAATAATTTACATACTAACTCCTACTGAGTTAAATCATGTGAGTTTGCAAGTTATTCCTTGCTTTACTAAAGTTATTAGTATATCTAGCATCAGTTTTTCATTTAGTTGATATAAGAAGTTGTAGCTGAAACCTCTTTTGCAAACTTTACACACAGTACGAAGCTCGAGTATTAGTGTTATTGGAGGTACTTGTAGTTTGTGACTATCTGGAAGTTGTATGCTTGAATCCTAGGTGATCTTCCTTACAAAGAGTACATCTTGTGTAACGATCCGGCCGGTCGTTTCATGAGTTATAGCCCCATTTTTTCCATTTCTTCTTTTTTATGTGTTATTCGGCTATATTGTGGTATCGGGTTGGTTGGTTCGGGTTCGGAGTGATTTTGGAGAGGAATGAGACACTTAGTCTCATATTTTGAAGTTAAGCTGAAAAAGTCAACTGGATGTTGCCTTATGAGTAAATGATCTCGGATGTGTATTCTGATGGATCGGTTAGCTCTGTTAGGTGATTTTGGACGTAGGAGCATGTTCGAAATATAATTTGGAGGTCTGTGGTAGATTTAGGCTTGAATTGACAAAATTGGAAATTTGGCGTTTCTCAGTCGGTAGTGAAAATTTTGATATTGGGGTTGGAATGAAATTCTGGAAATTGGAGTAGGTCCGTGGTGTCATTTGTGACATGTGTGTAAAATTTCAAGTCATTTAGACGAGATTTGATAGGTTTTGGCATCGTTTGCGGAATTCGAAAGTTTAGAAGTTCTTAGGCTTGAATCCGAGGGTGATTTGGTGTTTTGATGTTGTTTAGAGTGTTCTGAAGGTTTGAATAGTTGTATATGACTTGTTGGTATTTTTGGTTAAGGTCTTGCGGGCCTCGGGATGAATTCGAATGTTAACGGAAGGGTTGGAAATTGGTTTGAGCAGCTGAAGTTGCTGCTTCTGTCATTTCCGCACCTGTGGATTGGGGACCACAGGTGCGAGGTCCGCAAAAGCGAAATTGGACCGCGTAAGTAGAAAAGGACCGCAGGAGCGGAAGTTGGACCACATCTGCAAGCCTGCAGGTGCGAGGCCTGGGGCGCAAGTGCAGAAGCTGGAAATTTAACTGAAATGCACAGATGCGGCATTTGGACCGCAGGTGCGTGAATTTGGTTACAGATGCGGAAGTACTGGGCAGAATGTATAAAAAGGCCCATTCGCGAATTTTGGTCATTCTTCACCATTTTTCATCCAGATTTTGAGCTTTTGGGAGCAATTTGAAGAGGGATTCAAGGGGGTTTTCACTGATATGAGTAATCTGAGACCTAATACTCGTGATTATGGTAGTTTTCTGAGGTTTAATCATGTAATTAGTGGTGATTAAGGGTGAAATGAGGGGTTAGGGGTTTGGATTTTGGAGAGTTTTGATTGAGGATTTGATGGGTCAAATGGAGTCGGATTTTGACAAATCTTGTATGTATGGATTTGTGAGTGGAAGGAGTTTTTAGTTTTGCTATTTTTGTCGGATTCCAAGACATGGGCTTGGGGGCTGGGTTTGGGTGAATTTCGGGATGTTTGGAGGCCGATTCCAGAGGCAAAGGCATAGATGAGTAGGATTTGGCTTAGTTTGAGGTAAGTAACGCTTCCAAACTTGGTTCTGAGGGTTTGAAACCCCGAACTATGTGGTATATAATTAAATGTTAAGGTGACGCAAATGCCAAGTGATGGGTGTATGGGCGTGCACCATGAGAATTGTGGCCTAGTTCATTCCATGGCATCGCGTAGTGACTATTTCTTGTTGATATCTGTGTTATGATTATGTTATTAAGTTAATGAGTTATAAATCATGCTAATTATCATGTTAGGGCTTCACGCTAATACTATTGAGAACCGAGTGGTTGTTTCTTGTTGTCATCTCATTAGTTTCACTGGTATTCTGTACCCAGTCTTGTTAATGCATATCATATCATGTCTCAGTCTCGGTTGTAGTTATTTGGCACATCATATCATTGTACGGGCTAGTTTCATGGCACTGTGAGCCCATGTGTGTGAGACTAGAGAGTGATGATTGAGTAAGGTCGAGAGACTGATTATGAGTGACAGTTATGAGATACGGGCTGCACGCCACAACATATTATTGATTATGCCTTCATTGGCTTGTTATAGTGCTTGGGTTGAAAGAAGCCCCTCCGGAGTCTACACACCCCCAGTGAGCGTGGATGATATTATTGAGGGATGGATTTCCCTGGATATGGATTTGCCCGAAGTATTAATATATGGAGATGGATTTCTCCACATGGATGGATTTCCCTGGGCCAATGGCCATATGCGGTACCGAGTGGTTGAGTGTGTATATATATGTATACCTGGAGATAGATTTCTCCTCAGGTTGGATTACCCTTGTTCCTCGGTACTAGATGACTTGTAGTCAACGTTGTATATATTTCGGGATGGATTTCCCTGGACCGGATGGCCATATGCAGTATTGAGTGATTGAGCACTTGAGAGTAGGAGCACACGGTGTATTTTCATACATTTCTGGCATTGGCGTGTAGAGATCTGCTGAGCTTTATACTTCATATTGTTCGGATTGGTATTTTGTTTTACTGTTGAGTTGAATAATTGAATTGCCAGCATGCCTACTTTATTGTACAATTTAAATGTGTTATAATTGCTGAGGTTTAGTTCGTCACTACCTATCAGTCCATAGTTTGGACTTGTTACTTACTGAGTTGGTGTACTCACGTTACCTCCTGCACCTTGTGTGCAAATTCAGGTATCTTAGGTTATGGCAGCGGTTGTTTACTATTCCAGTCGCGGATTATCACTGGAGATAGTGAGGTAGCTGCCTGGCGATCGCAGTCCCGCCTTTCTCCTTCTTTGTCTTCCTTCTAGTATACTTTGGCTACTTTCAGACTATTTTGGTCTTGTTATGTTTCGGAACAATTGTAGTATTGCTCATGACTTAGTGACACCCGAGGTCAGGCTTTTATTTCCGCATTTTGGTTTTTGATTTTATATCTTTTTATGGAATTCAGTTGAAAAAAGTTGTTATTTAAGTTTTAAATGAAATGTTGAACTACTTTGGAAATGTGTCGGCCGGCCTAGTTTCATGATAGGCGTCATCACGACCGGATTGATTTTGGGGTCGTGACATCTTGGTAGTTGATTGAGAAAAATATGTGGTGTTCAAGGTGATTAAGCGGGGTCTTCAGTTAACTATCATCATGAAAGAATTACTGGCATTTACTTAGTAATGATTTACGATGGTGATAAGGTAATATTCCTTTTTTATGTATTTGATTAATGTCTCATGCATGGATCACACTTGTGCTGATTGGTCTGAATACCCTCGAAGAGAAGTGGAATTCATTCATATGTCATTTAAAAGTAGCTTACTGCTTTTCTTTGGGCTCGATAAGTTTCTTTATTCTTAGGTTGGTATCACGTCTCTTGTGCTAAATAGATGCAAGAAAGAAAAGTGTGTTTTATTTTTTCTTTCAGTTGGTAATTCTGTTATATCTTCCATGTGTTTCCAGTCACGAGTGTAAAGTTGTTTGCTCAAAGTTGAAGCAGCAATGAGGATAAGAGAACTTTGGAAAAATTAAAAAGTGTCTCCTCTAATCCTATATGTTTCTGGATGGATTTGGAGGAATATATGACCTGCCTCAAATTATAGCCGACCGATCTTGCTCTTGTTTGGAATTTGAGTAGGAGTTGTTATTCCATAAATTATACAAGTGTGCTAGCTTTCTGGTAAAAGAAGTTAGAGCTGATGAATAAATTTATTTATCCAGTAAGGTTTATTGTATTGTAAAACGGCATTGCAGAAAAGCATGACCTTGTGTAATTTTATATGCAAGTATTTCTACTTATTATAAAAATAGTTTGTTGCCGTCTCTACCTTCAACCAAACTGTTCTTTAAGTTTGGTAGGAAACAAAGCCATCCAATGGCTTCGAAGAAGAGCTAATAAGTAGAATAAAGGTATATGTACCCGACTTTTATGATGAATCGCCTCATATTCAAAGCATTCATGCAACCATGCATTGCTAAATACTAAAACATTGTAGATCACAAATGCCTTAGTATAATAGAGCAACATAGCAATGTTAAGAACATCTCTATTTGATAATATTCCATCGTATAATACAGTCGCATGGCAATGTCAGAACTAATTTAGAACATCACAGGCCTTCACCCGCCTAGTATTATTAAAAGGAGAAGAAAAATCATCCATATTAAGCCAAGTGTGTAGCCTCACAATAGGTCACTTGGCAATTTAGGACAAAGTTAGTAAGGTTATATAATAATTAGTTTTTTTTAATTTAATTTTAAAAATAAATAAATGATACATTATATATTATTAATATTTAGTTATTATTTTCGAATTTGAACATACTTAACTATTTTTTTACAAAAATTTTTATTTTTATATATTTAAAATTATTTCTATTCTTATCGGGAGTGTTATAGAAAGGCAAAGAAAGAGGCAAAGTTAGTAGTTACGATGGCTAAGAACGTGGTGTTTGCTCGTTTGTACGAGGAGCTCGAGGGCAAAGGCGGGGACAAGAGGTTGTACTGGTTGGCCAAGGTGAGGGAGAGGAAAGCCCGCGGCTTATACCAAGTCAAGTGCATCAAGGACGAGGATGGAAAAGTGTTGATGGACGAGGCGCTCATTAGGAAAAGATGGCAGACATACTTCTATAAACTGTTGAATGAGGAGGGGGATAGACGCATTGTGCTGGGTGAGTTGGAGCACTCTAAGAGTCGGGGGATTCTGGGTATTGTAGGCAAATTATGGTAGAAGAGGTGGAAGGGGTGATGCGTAAGATGTGCAGGGGCAGAGCGACGGAGCCAGACGAAATTCCGGTGGAATTTTGGTAGAGCGCGGGGCGGGCAGGTTTGGAGTGGCTCACTGGGCTGTTTAATGTTATTTTTATGGCAAAGAAGATGCCCAAAGAATGGAGGTGGAGTACGATGGCTCTGTTTTACAAGAATAAGGGTGATATCCAAAATTGCAACAATTATAGGGGTATCAAGTTATTGAGTCACACTATGAAGGTTTGGGAGAGGGTGGTGGAGGCCAGGGTGAGGAGGTGCATATCTATTTTCGAGAATCAGTTTGGATTCATATCGGGGCATTCGACTACGGAAGCGATTCATCTAGTAAGGAGATTACTGGAACAGTATAGGGAGAGGAAGAAGGATTTGCATATGGTGCTTATTGACCTTGCGACAGCATACGATAAAGTTCCGAGGGAGGTCCTGCAGAGGTGTTTGGAGGTTAGCAGTATTCCGTTAGCGTACATTAGGGTGATTAAGGATATGCAAGATGATGCTAAGACTCGGGTGAGGACTGTGGGTGGTGACTCAGAGCATTTCCCTGTGGTGATGGGGTTGCACTAGAGATCGGCTCTTAGCTCATTTTTATTTGCCTAAGTGATGGATGTACTATCGCGTCACATCCAAAGGGAGGTGCCTTGGTGTATGCTATTTGCCGATGATATAGTGTTGATTGACGAGACGCGTAGTAGAGTTCACGCGAGGTTGGAGGTTTGGAGACAGACCTTGGAGTCTAAAGGTTTCAAACTGAGTAGAACCAAGACAGAATACTTGGAGTGCAAATTCGGTGACGGAAGCCGTGATGTAGATGTAGAGGTTAAGCTTGATGCTCAAGTTATCCCCAAGAGAGCGAATTTTAAGTATCTCGGGTCTATTATCAAGGGTAACAGGGAGATTGACAAAGATATCGTACATCGCATCGGAGCGGGATGGATGAAGTGGAGGCTTGCTTCCGGTGTTTTGTGTGATAGGAATGTGCCTCTAAGACTTAAGGGTAAATTTTATCGAGTGGTGGTTCGACCGGCTATGCTGTATAGGGCTGAGTGTTGGCCAGTCAAGAACTCCCACGTGCAGAAAATGAGAGTAGCAGAGATGAGGAAGTTGATATGGATGTGTGGGTGTACTAGGAGAGATAGGATTAAGAATGAAGCTATCCGGGACAGAGTGGGAGTAGCCTCCATGGAGGACAAGATGTGGGAGTCGAGGCTGAGATGGTTCGGACATGTTAAGAGAAGTAGCATTGGTGCTCCTGTCAGGAGGTGTGAGAGGTTGACCATAGAGAGTTTGAGAAGAGGTCGAGGTAGGCCTAAGAAGTACTTGGGAGAGGTGATTAGGCAGGATATGACGTTGCTTCAACTCACTGAGGACATGACCCTTGAAAAGAAGGTGTGGAGGTCGAGGATTAAGGTAGAAGGTTAGTAGGTAGATTATAGTTGTTCACCGATAGTCTTAGTAGCATGCATGTCTCTTCATATTCTTAGATTTTTATTACGTTATGTGGTTTTGTTTGCCTCAGGTATTGTATTCCCTATTGCTATTATTTGGTACTACTTATCCTTTATCTCTTCCTTTTCTTTTCTCTTCTATCTTTCTTCCTTCCTTAATTTCCTCTTCTTCTTCTTGCCTTTCTTGAGCCGAGGGTCTATTGGAAACAGCCTCTCTACCTGTATTAGGTAGGGGTAAGGTCTGCGCACAGACTACCCTCTCCAGACCCCACATGTTGGGATCAAACTGGGTTAATTGTTGTTGTTGTATTTCTGTTTTACACTCAATGCCATTTTTCAAGTTTGACACTCAGAATCATCTAGTTATAACTGTCATGGCTACACATAAGTTCATCTGACGACATTCTTCTGCTGATAAAGAATTCAACTATTATGTTAATGAAGAAATTACTACAGAGATTGAGGAAGGAGATAGGCCTTCTGATATTTTTTTAGAAATACAACACAAGTCTTCTACTAATATGGATGCATTGTAATAGATGTAGAGATGAAATTGTTGAGAAATATTATCATGTGAGTAACTTTACTTATTATTTCATGGTGGATTATCAATATATAGTAATTTGTGGTATAGAATTCTAATTCATACTGAATGTTATTTTTTGATTATTCAAATCATCACGTGATAATAAGTAATTATACTAGATAATATTATATGATTTGGTATAACTATATATGTAAAATTGATTTAAATCTTTAATATGTTTGATTACTTTAAATTTTATATTTTAATTAAATTAAATAAAAAATAATAAAAGTCTCTTGCGTAAATATTTAAGTTCATTTTTCTCTTAAAAAGAATTATAAGAACTTGGTACTATCCTTTTTGGTAATTTGACACTCAAAAGTACTTTTTAGAAAGATTTACCAAACACAATTTGTTTACGAAATATTGTAAAAAGTACTTCTTATGAATAGGCCAAACACAACCTGTTTTTTTCAAAGGTACTCATGAAAAAAGTATTTCTGAAAAAAGTACATTGCAAATAAGCAAATTTTGGCAGCTTGGCCAAACGGGCTCTAAACCAAATCAAATCAAATCTACTTGAATTTTTTAATCGAATTGATTTGACTTTTTCATTTGGTGTGATTTTTTCGGTTCGGAATAACATGAAAAAGAGGCATAAATTTCTTTTTGGCGGAGCGGGGCGGGACGATGCATCCGACCTCATCCTTCAACGGCTGTTATCATAGTCAACACTCTACAGAATTTAAATTGTACAATAAGTTTAATATGCAATATCTGTGAATATTATTATTAACACAATTCATTGTCCTATCCTATTTATTGGTGTGAGCACCTAATTTTTTCCCTACATGAAAATAACTCCTAAAAATAAACCAAAAATAATTTTTAAGGGATTTTAAAAGTTTTTCTTTATTTAGTTGCATTTTATGCATTTTTAATATTTTAAAATCATAGAAAAATCATAAAAATGTCACGGTTTAATTTCATGTCATCTTAGGTCCAATTTGCATGTAGGAATTAATTTTATTATGAAACAAATAACAAAAATGGTCATTATTACATATTTAGGTTTTAGTCTTTAGAAAGTAGTGTTTTTATTTAGTTTTAAGTTAATTAGTTGTTTTAGTAGATAAACAATTTTAATTTTTACAAATTAGATTGATTTAGGATTTTATTAGATTTTTAAAATCAAAAAGAAATGGAAAAAAAATATTTTGATTTAGTTTTCCTACCCCAAAGTTAATTAGCCCAAATTCATGACCCAAATCCCTTCAAGCCCAAAACATTGAGTCCATACTCATTCCCCATTTGACATAACCTAATTCCTACCTCTATAAAATAACACTTAACTTCTAAAATCAAGGAAGATATATACACCTTAGACCCTAGATTTTAGGACCCGCCGTTTCTGACCTTGAGACCNGGATGGATCCCTCACCTCTCAAAAAATGAGCCACAACCTCCCCCTAGAATTCCTCTAAGCTTCAACACCACACACAGATTCGATAGAGAAAAATGGACAAAAGAAAAATGAAAGGAAAAGAAGGAAATTCCCTAGCTGCAAAAGAAACAGAAAAGGAACGAGAATAGAAACTAAGGACCAAATCTCTAAGAGAAAGGAACGTTGTTGCCTTAGCTTGCTTCCAAGCCAGCCCGGCCGCGAGGAATCAAGAGATCTTTGCTGGTGCTGACTTGGATCTCGGGTGACGGAATAAGGCGGCCAGAAGCGACGAGCAGTTGCGGTCGAAGCTTGGCTCTAGCCGATAGGCTAGCAGTAAGCTTGGCTATAGCGAAGCGCTTACTAAGCGCGAAGGAAAGGGCCTTCGCCACTTTTGAAACAAAAATGGACCAAATTGAGGCATTGTTCAAGTGGCGACTCTGAAATTAAATAAAATAATCTCATTTCGATTAATGTCACTTTAATTAGAAAAACTCCCTTATATCCCTCTCGGGTGGTAAAAAAGGAGATGTGACAGCTCTGGCGACTCTGCTGGGGATAAGAACCCCAAACTTCTGGTTCAAGGTTCAAGAATTCGAGCTTATTAATGTGATTTCTTATTTGGCTTTATTGTCGATATTACTGTATTTTGTGGACTTAATGTGCTAATTTCCATTTATTAACCGCTTTGATATTACTTGAACTGTATTTAAATGTCTTCTTACGCCTCCCTTCTGAGTCTTCTAAAAAAATGGTGCACACGTTCGCGTGGCCCACTTTTTCTGTTAGAAGTTATACCAAATAGAACTGGTCTAGGCAAGCAACAAGGTCGGGTAGACTTTTGTGCTCCCGATACGTTGTCCCCTCCTCGACTCGAGTTTATCCGCTCGGGTAAGCCAGGTTTAGAACACAACCCCAGGTTTAAACTTAGAATAACATAACCTCATGTTGGATCCCTAGTAGGAACGTTTATTTGCATCACGTGCATTTGACCTTGGGGATTCAACACAGGAGTTGGGTCCGTCTAGGACAGGTGTACCCAAAATAAAGACCATCTTGATGCATTCTACGTGCTATATGAATATTTATTTGTTTCAGCTTGCATGTTGACCGGCTAGGAAAAGAAAATCAAGAGAAAAATAAAGAGTGAGGTAGGATAGAGAATTTACCCGGTTCCAAAAATCCGGGTATTTGAAAATGTCTCGAAACTCTGCCAAAATTTTTGAAAATAGGGAAAAGAGGAAAATGTATTTCAAAAAGAGTGAGTCAAATATCATGTTTTTTTTCAATTGCGTCAAAACTGACCGAATTACACGGGTCTGATTCTCACCGAATATGAGATACGTAGGCAAACCTCATTGGTTCCGGCCTCAATTTTTTAAAATAAATCCAAAATCAATTTCCTTTAATTCCGTCCTTAGAAACATTTCCTTAGAAAATTCAAATATATATATATATATAAACTAAAAAAAAGTTTCCTTCTTTCTGAAGTCTTTCATATGGAAAAATAAATAAAATATAATAAAAAATCTATCAAAAATCAAAATCCAAAATACGGGTTTCCTTTATTTTGAAGTATTTTTCTCAAAAATTCAAAAAAAAAAAGAAGAATTAAAAAAAATCTTTTCCTTGTTTAAAAGTCTTTCTTTCGTAAATGTAAAAAAAAAAAAAATTGAAATCCAAAAATATTTTTGCTTTTCTTTAGAAGTACTTTTGTAAATAAATAAAAAAAATGCAGAAATCCAAAACACTTTCTTAAAATTCCCTCTTTCGAAAATTAAGAGGCAACATCCAAAATCCAAAAATATTTTCTTTCTTTTTTAGAAAAAGAGAAAACAAATGAAAATTCAAACAAAAATATTTTCTCTTTACTTTTAAAATTCCCAAAATTCCAACCAAAAAAAAGAAAAAAAATTAGTTTATTTACTCCCTTTTTTATCTTCCCGAACTACGCAAGATTTGATTTATGCGACGTCATGATACGTAGGCAATCCTCATCGGATTCGATCATAGCCATAAAATTAACTGAGTGAAAAATAAACGGAAAAAAAAAAAGAGAAAGAAAAATTGAGTGAAAAAAAGAGTGACAAAAATAAAAGAGTGATAAAAACAAAAACAAAGAAGAAAAGAGAGTGCCAAAAAAATAAAAGAG